TAATCCGATAAGTAAATTGAAAACAGATTTGAATTCGCCAAGAAGTTTACTTAGGATCGGTCAGAGTACTTTTTTCAATTTTTAATTTTATCCCTTTCCAAATTTGATTTTTAAATTTTAAATTTTTAAATTTTTAAAAAAGTACGCTGACCGATCTCAAGTAAACCTCATGACAAATTCAAATCCGTTTTCAGCGACGGAACAAAAAATGTATTATTATATAAACTAAAATGGCTTTTACTCATAGACAAAATTATTTAAACTAAAAATAATACCATGAAGGTTTTACAAATTAACAGGTAAATTAATTGACATGGTCGAAATTTATTACAATCACTTTTTTCTTGAGCCAAAACTCGGGCAAGGGGGGGGGGCGATCGCCCCATCGCCCCCCCCCCCTCAAATCCGCCACTGGTACAGCATAATGTATGTGTACTATATTATGCAGTACCTATAATAATATATATATAGTGGATATATTATATAAAAACATAGAGGTGTTGACTGTTGAGTTATTAATTTAATCAGACACAAACGCATATTATATGATTTCTCGGTGACGATTTTTTATTACAATTTCAGAATTACGAATTTTTTTTTTACTAAAAAATCTCGCTAACGTGAGTTTCGACAAATTAAATATTACACTTTTATCGTTTTACATTATAAAAACTTTTATTTTAACTTTATTTTTAATACGCGATTCATTGAAATATATTTTGGTAATATGAATGATACAAAATGGTAATTTCCTGATGGCCAAATTTTAGGCTTTTAAGGTAATTTTGATATCAATATGTTTAAATCTCGCTATATTTTAAATTACTTCATAAAAAAAAACAATTTTAGAATTAATTGTACCTATTATTTTTTTTTATTATCAACAAAAAAAACATGGTGGAAATGTTTTTTCATCATACCTTCTGTGAAAACGTATTAGGTTAACATAATAAACTTCAACGCAGTAAGGCTGAACTCAATTATGAATCAATATCGTCTAAATTACATTCTAACTAAACTAGATAACCTAATATGTATTATAGTGCATGTTGCGGGTCATTACCATTGAAAAAGCTATCTGAACAATCAAATAGATGCTATGGCAAAATTTAAAAAAGCCAGTACAGTGGGGTCAGGGCATAGTGGGGACGAGAGGTCACAGTCTACAGATTTTATTATAACTGAAAGTGATAAAATCACTTTTAAATAAACGCTACGATTCGAATCTGTGGATAGTATGTTCAAACCAGTTATAGCGGTTTATAGGATATCGTGGGACCAGCAATAATGTACTTAAAATTTAATATTTAGTCTTGTGCAGGGTGTATACGATAAAGGATTGATCGTCTGTCTATACCAATGTAATGCCATAGTTACCCATGTATCGTAACAATATAATCTTAACAATATAATGAAAATATTTTCATTACCTGTTGACTGTTGATTCACTCACACATAGCAACCTAGAAAGTGACTACGGCCAAAGTGTAAATTTACCCTTTTTTTTGGGAGTTTTCCTTAATAAAAAAAAAATTTGACTACAGATTTTTGACAAAATTGTATATGTTATAGTTCCATTTTAGATCTACCTTCGGTCTAATTTTCAGATCTAAATCTCTAAAACTTAGCTTGAAAAAGTGAAATAAAGTAAAAAATTCTATCCCTTCTAGGGGAAAGGGTTTATGGTATTTTTTTTGTTTGTTAATGTTTATCGATAGTACCATGTTTGAAGAACAATTCATATAAATTTGAAACATTTTCGACTATTTTTAAAAAAGTTATAGAGCATCGTAATTTTAAGTTGAAAAATTTGTACATTTTTTGGGTGTTTTTCTCGATTTTGTTGGGGGGGGGGGGGTGACTTGTTTAAATTTTTGGTCTAGTAAAGTACCTTTCAGGTATGATTTTCTGATCTATAGAGTTGCAGACACAAAAATAAAAACACATCATTGTAAAAACAATACCTTCTCAGCTCCGCACCGAAGCTAAAAGAACAGACCAATCAAACTTATAAGATAAGTACAAGTGCAATAATTATACTTAAAATATCAACCTACACCAAAAAAAAAAAAATTAGATAAAATAAAATGATGTACAATGAAAAATACCACGAAAATATAATTATTATTTAACGCTGAATGGTTGTTGTGTTTACATAAATATTTGAATATTTAAGTTGGCGTAGGCTGTTTTCATATTATTATATTTTATACTGGTCGCTTACGCCTAAAGATTTATAATAATAACAAAAATAGCATATTTAAAAATGGTTATTTTCTTAATGGTTTTTTTTCGTATTATAAGCTTTTTATATGTACCTAAATTATATGCATACAACAATAGATTTGTATTTTATGATTTATTTGCCGTTTTCTTTGAATTTACATTTGTTTTAGCACTTATGGTCGGTATGCGGCAAGTGGGCGGCCTTAATTTAATCAAATTTCTCCTCCAGTAACAACGTGTACGTTTTTGCGTAGGCATTGTAAATAGTTGATCTAGACAACATACAGAAACTGAAGACGAACCAAAGTAAAATATCATTATTCGAATTTTAGTTGACACTTACGCCGATTTCTTTTTTGCATTTTCTTGCAGTATTAGCAACATTCTTTTATCATGAATCCCAACACTTCAGATCCCTAGCTTGCCCCCCTCCCCCTAAATACTTATCGTGAAATTTTGTTTTTTGCATATTTTGATTAACAAGGAAATTTTAATTTTTTATTTAAAAAATGCTAGCTTGAAAACTAATCAAAATTTCACAATTTCAAAATAGACTTAAAGCCCAAATACGACACTTGAAAATCACTCTTTTGATAATAAACGATAAATATTTTTATCAATGAATATTATAGATGGCATTTTTTACTAACACATGCCATAAGTGATTTATATTACATTTTGTGTTAGATTTTAATCCATTTTAAGTAGTCAAATAACATATTAATAAATATTTAATTTTGCTTTTATTTAAGTTTACAATCTTAGCTCATTATAATCTTACACAAACTTTAAAATGTTTTATGTAACTTTTGCTAAAAGTATTACAACAAGACCCTACAATGAAATTAAGGTTAGGTATTTATTTTTTTAAGGCATGATTTTTTTCCATTTTATGTAATTTGAATGATTAAATATTAATTTAATTATTTTATAAAACGTTTTTAAAAAAATGTACAATTTAAGTATTACAGTATTTATATAATTTAATATATTTAAAGCCGCTGATTAATACTTAAATTTACAATTTTCATGTTATTTAGGTTAATTACTAAACGGTTAACTGTGCAACGGTATTAATAATAATATCTTATCCGAGCACATCAAAATCATGGTAAAATTTTTAAAATATGCGTATATTTTTTAATAAGTGAGATAATTATTAACACGATAATGTGTTAACGTGATTTTACAACAAGGAAATGCATATAATATTCATGGATAGAACCTCATTACATGATCATTGATCATTAAGCATTACATATTTTTCAATTCATAGTTGATCTAGTTTTATTCAATAAAAATGGTCATATTATAAATTAATAAAAAATACTAGATATATTACTTGGGTGTACTGTAACGTGTTACAGAATTAATTTGCAACACATTATATTATCTGTATTTAATAATAATAACTTCTCTATAAAGTTTAAACATATAACGATTACATTTTGGTTTAATTTTGTATTATTATTATCAAATATTTATGTACAATCTATACAAAAAGTACATTAAGTAAGTTTGATGACAGTGAATAATAAAATTACTATAAAAATAGCTTTTATAAGACACTCTGCAGTAATACTCAACTAGGAAGTTTTAATTACTTGTTTTTTTTTATAATAATTTTAATCTCAAGGCATTTTTTTTTTAAGTCTTTTAGATGCATTTTTATGAAGTGAGGCCTAGGATAGTTGATTTATTATGCTTAATGTGTTTAAATAAAACTTACCTAAGCTTGGGCTAAAAGAGAGGACTATAAATTAGGTACATAATTAAGTACTGACCAATTTTTACAAAATTCAAACATGTTTAAAAAAAAACCTAAGACCTTGTTGTGTTAATAAACAACTGGCCGCATGACCTCAAAATATTTTTGAAGTTCATTGTAAATGTTAAGTTTTGTAAAGAGTCTAATTATTTTCTTCGTCTTAATCAAGTTATACCCACGATTCACGAATGTCGACCATTATAAATGTAAGACTATTTATATGTTTTTCCTTGATCCCTATATTTTGTTAAACAAGTATAAAATGTATTTAAGTATTGAATGTTGTATGAAATGAAATTGGAACAGCTAAGTGTATACAGGGACAGATCTAGAAATAAAAGAATTAGGTGTGAGGGGGGCTAGAAAAAAACGAATTTCAAATATATTTATGATACAAGCAATAGTCCTAGAGTTAAAGTTTACATAGTAACAAAAATACATATTTTAATATTATATTATAAAAAAAATTAACATAAAAATATACTTTTATTTATACAAAATTTGAGTACATAAAAGAGGGCCTAGAGTCCCTATAGTATTTCCTTGTACCCGCCTCTGTATATATATACATATTTTTGCATACGTGCATTTTATTGTTTATTGCTGTTCTATGTGTTATAAATATTTTCCTTAAAGCATCTTAAGTAAACCGTTAATAAATCCCTATTAAAATATAATATAAATTCAAAAAATGTAGGTATATGTCAACGTTTCTCGCTAGGAATGCATTTTACAGTGGCCGTTTCCATTGTATATTTTCACTTTTTTCTAATAAAATATTTTCGATTAAAAGCTTGCCCCATGTGCCTAAATCGTGACGGGAGTGTCACGATAATAACGTTAGGTATAAATATCCAAACACTGGCGTTTTTATTATATCAACAATAATGTATGCATCGAGGACATTTTCCTTATTTTCGCTTGGCAGCGCTGCGCAGCTCCTTTCGAATACATTCCACGAACCGGTACCACCTCCACCTCGTTTGCGGCCATCCGCCGCCTGCTAGCACCTGGAACTTCGGCCATCAGTCGGTCTTCAGTCGTTTGCAAGCGACGTCGGTGTATTTTTTTATTTGATTCTTCATGTCAAGCATGAACCGTGCACGCAACACAAGAGATCGTTTTATATCGATGTGATGAAAGTGTTGTTGATTCGTGTCGAATATTATTACTGTTGTTATATTAGGTATTAAAAAACTATGAGTAGCTGTTGAGAAATGAGTGTGGTGAAAATGAAAAAGGACGTGAAAAAGAGTTCGTATTACGTGTGGTTTCTCGGCGCCCAGGAATGCAACAACGTGAGGGACGTGGACTGCATTGTTCCCATAATATCGGCGTTGGCCGAACGGGAAAGGAAAATGCCGCCGCACAAGTTCACGCTGCAGGTGAGCCACCGGGGCCTGAAAATCGTGCACAACGCCGTGGCCACGCCGTCGTTGCCGGGCGGTAAGATTTCCAAAAGCGACCTGGTCAAGCACCTGATTCCGGACCACGCCATCACCTGCGTGCACCGCGACCAAGACCTGGTGGCCGTCATACTGCTGCTGTACAACCCGGTGACCAAATGGCCGGTGCACGTGCACGTTTATCGGTGCGACTCAGCAGAGACGTCTGCGCTGCTGTCGGGACAACTGCAGACGCTTGTCGACCGACCCGACAACAAGAGAAAGCTCGACGAGATTGAGTCAAGACTGAGCGTGCCCGAGCCGCAGCCGCCACCGCTGCCGCACCGGGACAACGGCAGGCGCGAACGCAAGAGGGAATCTCCGCCGTCGTCGTCGTCCGAGAGCGGAGTTCCCGTGGCCACCGGTCACATGACGTCCCTGTACGATTCGCTAGCGGCCGAGCTCAAGAAAAAACTGGCGACCGGAAAGAAGACAGGCGCGCCCATACTGTTACCGCCCAGGGACTACGACACGGTCCACAGGCATAGGGGAAATCTCAACGGCATAGACCTGAGACGGTGCATGAGCACCAATATTGTCGGCGTCAACGCTGCCAAACAAGAGGCCAGGAGATCCGCGACGAAAATGGGATCCAGCGGCGACTCCAGCGGTATCGGATCCGATCACGCACCCAGCCCCGAACAATACGAACGGGACAACCCCTACGCAGACAACAATTCCTCTTCGGGTAAGAATAGTTTTATTCACTGCGTCTATAGCTGCGTCGTCCTTAGTTTTTCGATATTAGCTCAACCCCCCAATTTGTTGAGGTCCGTACCATAAGTTGTTAACAGAGGGGCTTAGTAATGTTTCAAGTATATAGGAACCGAGTTTACCTTAATAATTATACTTAAGGGTGAACCCTGTCAATTACCGGAGAGAGTGATCGTCTTCAGGCCTTTTAGATTTCAAGTCAATTAAATTGTATGTATAAATTAACCAAAGAGGGCTGATTTTTTTATGTAATAGGCCAAAATGCAAAAAGTGTTGTATCTTCATAATTCGTACTTTTTCCTACTACCAAAATAATATGAACTATGAGACATTCTCAGATATTTATGTGCCTAAATGTTTATTTAAAGCCGGGAAAAGTTGATCACTTTTCTTTGATGGTCTACATTCTACACGCTACCGCTCCTTACTATTGAGTGGATTTTTGATTTGTATCACATTAATAAAATCATTGTTTAACTGTTCATTAAATCTTTTTTGCGTCCCAGAACTTTGCGTATAATTGTCGTAATTGCAGCGTCGTAATTGTATAAAAACATTTCCCACTTTATTTGTTATCGTGCAATCAAATTGTAATCTTAAAAAATATTTACAAAAATCGTTTTGAAATGGTTTAGTTTGTCATTATTCCAATACACATTTGTATTTTCCATGAAAAGGCATGTCCCTTCTTTACTCTGTCCGATGGATATTCATGAAAATTATAATTTTTAACTACTACCAGTCGATATGGTGTAATGTCAATTGTTTGAACTATTGCATCGAAATGATGGGCAGGTCATTTGTGGTGAAAAGTAGTATTGTCCTTTAGTCGATGGCTATTGTACTTGGAAGGTACAGGTGAATAGGATGGATAGTTTGTATGAAAAGGTACGTAAAAAAGGTGAGAGCTATGACACGTTTTGACAACGGACAAGTAGAGGTCACAGGAAACATGGTTGACAGTTAATTGTTAAAAGCCGACTACTGCAGAAGAAATGCGTTATTTACTACTCTCACTCTGTAATTATTGTAGCAATGTGTATATTATACTAATTTTTTCGACGTTACAACTAACGAGTTATAACGATCAAGCCTGAAGGTTTTTTTCATATCTTCCAAGATCACCGCAATGCATTTACCTAGTATTTCAAACAATTGGGGAGTTTTTTTTTTGTTTTTCTCCTAATCAATTATGTCGAGAACTTTCAAAATATAACAATTGAATTTCAAAACGTCTGTTTGTAGGTACAACATGTTGTGTTTATAACATTATCGAGCGCTAGCCACTTTCTTCGTATTGTTACACTTAAATTGATTATATTGTTACTACAAAGGCACAAGGAAGATGCATAATATTAAAACTTCCTGTCTTTTTAAAATTCGTCGTCCTATTGTCGCCGTGTTTAACAGTAAACATTCTTTAAATCCCGGCGGTACACGTTTAACCGTGAAGATCATCGCCGTCGTCTTCGAGTGCCTGTTCTCCACTTGTCAATTACAGAAATATGTACACAAGGACGTAAAGAACCTTTCTCAAGGTTGACATTATGTGTGCGTATGGATGTTTGTATTGTAAACGTTCTACTGGTATATTATTGGCCGCAACAATGCTGTGTCTCGTTCCCGTCTGCAAAACCATATACTATATAGCAGGCACCGAGTGTTTCCATTCTTTATTTTTGACATACATACTATGTCGTTTAGAGTCCGTCGAAAATTTAAGTACCATAGGGGAGGGTTAGAGAAGGAGAGGATAGTGATAAGCATATGGATGAGGTGGGGCTTAGACCGGCGATAAATGGGGAAAATTGATAATAAGTCATAATAAAACCGGTTGAAAAGTGATGACTGCGATAACATACAGAAAATTAGTGGACCATAAGACATATTCGTGATCCACAACGTCTTACCGTCAAAGGAATGAATTGAATTTATTTTTTACTTCTGCGTTAAGTCGCCAAATGTTGGTTTTGGCTTTTAAAATAGTACCCACTTAACAAATCGTCTTAATGTTTACACATAGCAAGTTTTGTAATCCAAGTCGACCAGCTCCGTCGGCGTTCAAACAAGTTTGTTTTCCCTAATGACAACATTATAATAAAGTGTTTCCTGTAATAAATACACCTCATTATAGTGTTACTATTATTAATTACCCAATCGTTTTTGGCTATTAATTAATATAATTATTATTATAACTATAACATTTGTTATCAGATTGATAAAATTGTTATCGTTTATCAACGCACAACGCATCTTATTGCATTCTTCGTTATTATTGTATAATAATAATTTGAACAAATTACCGAAAATGCCGTATTATATCCAAGTTGAGTTTTAAGCAGAGTAAGAAATTAAACAGCGTATAATGAGAAACGGTTTTTAAAACACTGCGGTGCAATGTGGGTCATTGCGACTGTCGTCCTGGATCGAGTCACCCAACCTGATTAAGCACATACACGATAGCGCATAAAACGTCTAAACAGCTGAATAGCATAATGGCTATATAGTATACAGGTACACACTGTGTAGCAACTTTCTAATAACGTTTAATTGGCTATAAAAGAGTAAACCCATTTAAATATGCCGACGTTCTCGAACGTCTTGCAGTTTTTAAGTTGACATTTTTTATAGTTAAAAAAATAAAAATAAATTTTTATCCAGTTTTTTTCGCCAACATTTTGAATTGTTTTATACTTGAGATAAATTCTAATGTGGCGGTTGTAAAAATGTTATTTATAAAATCAATTAGAACCAAAAATCTTTAGGCTTGGTATTGGAGTTTTTACATTATTGCGCTGGAGGAGTCCATTAACGTTCCACTAAAGACTTATGCGGTATAAAAGCTATAAAATCTAAATTAATAAAAACACTTAAGTCAATAAAACAAAAACATTATATTTGATCCAAGAAAAAATAAAAATATTTACTTTTTTTTTATGTTGGTTCAACAACCTGTTTTACAATCTCACTCTCGCCGATTGAAAAAAAAACTCGGTCAGCAACTTTATTTACTAATTTTAAATAATTTTTTTGATCTTAACCTTTTTGTTATTCGGTGACTCGATTTTTAATTTTCATAAAACGCATAATATATACGACCGTTTTGAACGTTTCCGTCCATTAATGTTGGCATTTTATCAAGTTAATATATTATAAATACAAGTTTTCCGTTTTGATTAGCATTCTTGTTCCGTCGGACATTTTTTGTATATATTTTGAACTCATTAACTGGTTCACCGCATCTACTGATGCTGATATAGCATAGCTGTCACGACTCTCTTCGAGTAAGTACTTTAACTAGACTGTTGATAACTTCAGCGCTCAGGCTAGATTATGTGTTTCATGTATACCGCACAATTACTACCTGGTAGTTTTTTATTTATTTTTACTGCTCACAGATGGTAAAATAAAACACATTATTAATAATTATAATTATAAAAAAGGCGAGTTCAAGTCTCGGCTGCAATAACAGCGCAAAACAATACAGTATAATATTAATATGATGAGGCATTTGAACGTTATCCGTCCAAACCCTATTTATTAAACATGTATACACACACACACACACACATACACTTACATATACATGAACAGGTACATCCGGACTTGGGTTAGACAATGAAAACACAATGCACAACCACTCGGTCGGTGCCTAATTATTATGTCCGTTGGATATGTGGGTCGCCGTTGGGCGGACTGACTGCGAGTTGGCCAGAGATGAACACTAGAGTGATAACACACACACACACACTTTCTCTCTATCTCTTATTTTATATTTATAAGATTTTATATTTGTATACTAACCTGTAGGGCGTAAGGCTTGTGCGGCTCTATCGCTCGGGACAGTTTAAATCTATAGTTCGTTTGTAAACGATCTACTCGTCCGACTGAAGAGCTCACTACAATGTATGTATATTATTTATGGAAGAAAAAAAAAATAGATGTATAAAATAAAAAAAATCCCTAGTAAAATCAAAACGGTCGGATACCTGTTGGTTTGTTTTATGCGGGGCGGTGCTGCGCGTCTATTGTGTACGAGATGTCGTAATCGAAGAGAAAGACTGATGAAGTATAAACAGTTTAAAAAAATATATATATATATATTATACATTATATGGCCATTAGGCGGTGTTTTGAGGACGAACATTGTGGAGAGGCGGTTTCCCGTCTCCTTGGCCTTTCTGAGAAATAATTATGATATTATGTCGAACACGGACAGATAAATAATGTTTTTTTTTTTTAACGTGTAACTAATAATTGCAACAACTGCAGCGCGAAATTTGCCAACTCAATATTTTATTTCTATTTAAAGAACATAAACTACACTTGTGTTACGGTGGTTTTTTTAAAAATTATTTTTATATTGTTATCTAATTATTTTCGGTTAATTATTCAAAGTCAACCGTTTAGATAGTTGCGCAAACGGGTAAACAATAAGTGTAACTGTTTAAAAAAAAAATAATTTACGTTTGCCAGTTAAAAGAAAGGCGTTATTGTAGTCGCGTTCGTTCGTGTGTAGTTCTTCCGTGAGATAATTATTACATAAAACGTTGGCTCGTGTTGTTGTTATTTTCCACATCCCGACCGGTCTGATTCCTATTCCACATTTTTGAACTTTTTGTATAGAGTTCATCCGATTCGCATAAAATCGGCTGCCGTTTTTGTGTATAGCTGGCCGCTTATCTGTACATTTCAAAATCAATGCTTGTAAAAAAAATTCATCATAAGCATGCCGAAATTGGTGGTCATCCGACAAACACAAGTTTATATTATGTATATCAACCGACCATCGTGTTCATCAGTCTGTGACCGAATTTCTTTTGGAGTCGGCGATGAAAAAAAAAAAATACCTGACGCGCCGACCTTGAACGTTCGTTCACTCCAATAAAAATATAATATTGTAGTAAAATATATAATGTAATATCCTTTGTATCAGCTCTTCCTCTTAATTTTGGTAAAACTTCCGACACATTC